GGGGGCTTCTGAGTTGACCGATTCCGGTCCATCACTTTACCACGGATAGCTGTGCGACAAATCTGGGGTTCTGTCTTGTGATCAGCAGTTTCAATCATTTTGTGTCGTGATTCAAATCAATCAGTCGCTGACATTCGGCTGTAATCTCTTGCAGCGTCAACTGTGGTTCTTGTTCGAGCTTGTGGAGAATCCGTGTTCGAATATCGGCATCAGCGCGGGACTGGAGACTGCACAAGAAAATAAGACTGTTGAATTGACCAGGTGTCATCACACCCAGTTCGAATCGATCGCATTCGCGATTTACGATCCCTGCATGTGTGACAAAATTAATGCCATCGCGTTTGACTAACTTCAATCAATTGTAGCGAACACTGAACAGAGAGGCCTGCTCACCGAATATCTGCGTCAGCGTTTTCACCGTCTCATCGAAGCTGAAGTCTCTTGCATTCTTCGGCAACACGAAATTTGTGTAACATTCATGCTCGACTGCGCCGTTTCCTCAACAACAAAAGAACTTTCCAGGCATCGTCTTGGTCTGCAAGTTCCACTCGAAAAATATCTTCATACTTTAGGAACCAGGATTCAAATGTCAATCCGTTCAATCCATCGAAAACAAATTATGTGATTGAAGCCGCAAGGGCGTCCACAGATAGCTGTGCGGTAGTCGTCGGAGATTCGCTGTGGATGTTCAGCTTCTGAAATAGCAACTCGATCAACTGTCATTGAGATTTTTCGAACTGGAGTTGTTGCTGTTGAAGAAGCGTCTGCATTTGCTCGAACGAAATCGAGATGTCTACCGGAATCTCCGTCGCCAGAAAGTCTGTTGTGTCGCCGCTGACGCCTTCACACCACGACCGCAAGAAGAAGTCCAAAGACGAGCCAGAAAGAGACTTGTATACATGAAATCACAGTTGCTTACATAGTTTTGAAGGCAAGATGAAGGGAAGCTACTAAATTACACTTGAGCCAACCAACAGAAGTAAAAACGTCAAATGCAGCGGGCGAGTAAGCAACCGTGTACTCACGAGCGAATCGCATATGTCCTTAAAAATAGCATCATGGGACTCCAATGGTAGAGCGAACATTCATTTACAGTGACGGGCACTGGCCAATCAAAATAAGGAAATGTAGCGTTTAAACAAATGTCACGAAACAAACGAGAATAAGAAATGCAGACCCAAAAATTAAAAAACTAGTACAATAATCGTGTGACAACTAAATATTCCTTTAACATAACCAAGTAGAACAGTGATGAGGAGAAAAACCAATGGAATGTGTTCTTGCAAATGGCACTGCTGAAAAGGACACGATGATGAGCGTCCATTAACAATGATGCGTGTGGACTAATCGGGCTATCCCAGTAGAGCGTTAAAACAACAGTCAAGAAGTAGAAAATAAAAAGAATAAAGAATGGCTATTAAGCTTATTGACAAGAAATGAATGTCTAATAGCTATTCTCGGTTTTAGTAATAAATAATGATAAGGTATCAGAAGTAGGCCGGTACGCAGTACCGACGCTTCTCTCCCGCGGAACCATAACCAGCTGCACGTGGGCTAGGGATACTGCGAGGGTCGCAGGCTCGAAGCCGCGGCGTCAGACTACAAGACAAGCTTGTTGCCTTAAGGCTACGGGTCGGCCACTCGGTCTCTGTGAATCTGTTACGGTTCGAACCAGTGTAGGGTGGACAGCGTAGATCACAAACTAGACAGCGACATATGTCAATAACACCAAATCCTGTGGCCACTGACCCTTGTTAACCGATCAGCAGGCGGTGCATTTGAAACGTCACATAATTCAAAAATAGACATCCAAAACAAGACCGTCCTCGGTAAGCAGATTCAGTATACGTAACACCTACTCGAAATAGTGAATGTTTTGCGCTTCACTTGTTGATTTGGTGAAATTAAACTGGCCATTCGTTTCTAATCACCCTGTTCGAACCTTATCGTTGTAGCTAGGTTGTTGTCATCCAGCACTAACAATGTTCCACTGGAAACAATGGACTGGGACCTGAAGGCGTCAAGTTTCTCAGATAAAAGGGGTAGAGTTTTGCTTTGTTGACGAGAAACGCTCCTACAGTGGTCCCACGCACATGACACGTGACGCCAAGCGATGTGATGTCAGCTGAGCGCTCTTGCGTAAGTTGGGTGGTGTCTACTGCCGATGGTACTCGGACCATTATTACTACAGCATTTGCCAGTTTAACCATTAAAAATTAATCTAACAGCACTTTACTTTTTTAAGATGCAGCTTTTCAAGGTCAGCAAGTAGGCAATTCCCCCGACACAGTTGTACTAAGAATGGGCAGTGATTTACTGCTCAGCATGGCATGACCTTAATTATTTATCCGTTGTTACAGCGACACAAGAGAAAAACGACGGGGACCACGACAACCGTGCAGGTGAGAGGAAGTGCGCCAATAATGAGTGTGCGTGTGTGTGCGCAAGATAGACCAAAGTGGTCAAGGAACGAACCCTGGGTGGCGGCTGAAAGTAAGCAGAGTGGGAATAAGGCGATAGGGCTGCAGCGATTCAGTTCGGAGTGACTGCAGTGCAAAACTATTTTCCCTTACTGCTGCTTTCAAGTGGGTAAATATGGACATAATGTGGGAAGCAGTGAGGGCGAACAGACTGATCGGACAAGTGAATTTGCTAGCTGACAGTCCGGGTGTGCTCAAAAGTAACCGATATGGAAAGTAAATGCACTCATTTACGTGCGATGGAGCTCGCAAGCAATCTCGAGCGACAAGGTGAACAAACGCAACCTTACATGACAGAATAGCTGATAAAGTCGTACCGGTCGACTTCAGCCAGAGGGTGCTGTAGAACACACGCTGCTATGTGTGTTTCAAACAAGTCGGCATGGTGACTCACCATAGTCAGGAGGAACGTATTACAAATAGAAAACGCGTAAATTGAATGGACAAGTGTCCGCGCAGATTTGACGCTGCAGCTCGAGTTTCCTGTGCAATTGTAAGCTTGCACTATCGCGTGTCTGCAGTATCTTACAAATTGATACCACAAATCTATGTTTGGCATGAATTTTGACAGGGTGTGTATTGGTGGAATAACGCCATTGCGATTCTCGCTTCAGAATCCTATTAATCGTCGCTGGCTGATAAGGGGTGCACAGTTTTGTGACCATGCTAAACCCAAAGAGTGATCCCATCCGGTATGGAATGGGCTACAGTCCATCCGATGTCCTATGTACATCTTGTATGGGAGTGATTTGCATGTAGGTGTATGGACTGGTTCCGAACCAGTCGTGATTCCCATCTACTTACTTCAGGTCCTATTCCTTCGAGTTTACATTGGATATGGGGTGTGTGGATGAAGCGCTGTGCGGTGCAGCTCAAGCTATCCACTGTCTCGCTGTAAGCACAGGTGTTCTACAAAAAGCAAGATGACATGTGACGCCGGAAGCGGATACGGGCGTCCGGCTCAAAACTTTGCTGTGCTGAGGAGGTCCGTCGCATATAGATTCAGCTAGCCAACCACCACACATGTGGAAAAGTGATGGAATTCTATCTGGTTCAAGTTGAGCTCACCAGTAGTGCGCATCTCTTTCGAACTCCACAGGTGCCTAATCCGTGGATATCATCTGATGAGTTAACTATTTGAGACGATGAGTGACGACTTAAGAGCGCTGTTACTGATTGATAGCGCCGACGTAAAGACACTCACTGTTCACATAGGATACAGGTGTCTACGAGGAACCTATTACAGAACACCCAAAATCTACAACAATTTACCAGTTAGTAATCGCCCAAATCGGCTCCAAATATCACAAAGTGACGGGTATCTTAGAGAGGGAACCACAGCTATGGGGCCATCCCTGTCCTTGGCAGGACAGGGATGTGTATATCAGTATCGCGACCACCTACCCTCTTGTGACTCAGAGGTTGGGTTTTTTGACTATTTAGAGGAAGTTGTTTCATCCTTTCGGGAATCGTCAGCGGTACGTATTCCATCTGGCCCGTGTAGGGTTAGAATCCGCAACCCGACTGTCACCAGTCCGTGGTGAGTGCTAGTGGGCCACGAGGGACATTAACGACCTCCGCAATATAGAGCCGCTCACTATCTATGGAATGTACACTGCCAACGATTCCCAAAAGGACGAAACGGCTGTACAGTGCTTTTCCGGGAGTGCGATGGCCGGCTGACTGCGTCTAGATGTGATGAACTTCTACATCGACCGTTTAACTACCCCTAATGCTCCTTGGTAATCAGTACGCAGCCCGGATTGCTTATTACGTCATACGCTAAGTGGCGGCCTAAGTTTGGTAGGTTCGTCGCTTGGTGTGGGGGCCACCCTGTCCTCTGCACGTTAGTGACGTGCAAGTTAGTGGATAGTGGACGGCGCTATATCAGTTCTAGCAACGTAATAAAGTTGGTCTTTACCGTCCCGCGTAACGCAGTGGTCCCCACCATGGACTGATTACAGTCGGATTGCGGGCTTTTGGTCCAATAGGGGAGAGATGGAACGCACCTTGCTGACGATTCCCGAAAGGATGAAGCGGCTGTACAGTGCTTTTCCGGACATGTGACAACTCTGACAGTGTAGACGTAATGAATTTTACTATTCTACTACTACTACTACTATTATTTTACTATTCAACTCTCCTACTACGTTTTTGTAAGTAGTAAGAAAAAGACGAACTGGAACTGGGTAGAACGAGTAAATGCGTAGTGCTGCCGAGTTCCAAGAGAACAAGACGCATAACCGCATTTTTTGATGTGCGATAGCTACCTAACTGATTACCCGTGACGAACACCCTCAGCACACCAGAAACCAAGATACTACATTTTAACAAGTTTAACGCTGTGTAAAATTCAAGAAACACGAAATGTGACTCAGGTCCAATGAAATGGCGCATCTGAATGGTTCCCTGGAGTTTGTAAACCGCCTTACGGATGCTCGTCATTCAGGTAGCGTACCTCTGTTAAACGCAGAGGGACAAATGAACTGAGACCTAGTTCCGTGTTCAGCAGTTGCTTACCTGCCTAGACTGCTCTGCTGTACTGGAGCGCTCCAGTTTCTTTCGACTTGCAAGTTCTCTCTTGCGTGCTGCGTTCTCTGTTTTTAAGTAGGTCTGTTGTCCAATTATGACATCCGTAATACACTATTTCTCACCTTAATCTTTTTGATCTCATCGCCATAACTGGCAAGCGGATTCACAACTTTGCCGACTAATCGATCAACCTGAATGTGAGCATGGAAGCATCAGTATTACCTCGGTGTGACGGTGATCTTCAAGAGTGGCCAAATTCTCCGATAACTTCTTCAGTGTGGCCGCGGAAGAGCGATTGATTTTTTCCTTTACAGAGTAGTCCAGCAGGATTCGTGCGATTTCATCACCTGTGTACAACGATTAGGCTTCGATTGATACATACCGTTGTTGCGTAATTTTGCTGTGCGGCGCGTGTAGCTGACCAATTCCGCACACAAATCACCGAAAAAGCTTTCCACATCAGCGACCCGTTGATGCACAAACTTGGCCTGGTTCTCGCTAGAGTGTGGTGTGAAGGAAGGATGAAAAGTGAAGAAATTTTATGACGTTCAACGCTAAAAAACAAAATCCAAGACAGGAGGGATGACATGCTGCGAATACTTAGGGGAGGAATATGATTCGATGACATCATACCAAAGCATTCGGACCACACGACGTGGTGCGGTGATGCCGCGTACAATGTTTGTAGTGTTCAAAATAAGATTGGCAACAAAGGATTAATAAAATTAATAACCATAGTAACAAATAACAACAATGCAAGAGAGAGGAATATGAACTAAATCTTTGAGTTGCATTGTCAAGAGACATGAGAGAACGAATGTAAGGAATCCACCGTAGCTGAAGTGCGCAGCATACACCCTATGCCTCTAGCGTCCGGTGTTGAAATGGGGGAACTGCTTGCCATATATATATATATATATATATATATATATATATATATATATATATATTAATGGTGGATGTTTGTGAGTAGTGTGAAGTTCGAAGGAAGTAGAAGCCACGATTAAAATTCACGCACAATAATATGCCTCGACTGGGAGTCGAACCCCGGTCCACGAATTTCCGGTCCGCTGCTCTACCACCTGAGCTACCGAGGGCTGACGATTAGGTTCGACTCCCCGTCGAGGCATATTATTGTGCGTGAATTTTAATTGTGGGTTCTACTTTCTTCGAATATATATATATATATATATTTGCAGTAGCAAGTCAACAGGTAAGTTGTCGTCGAGCGCAGCCTATATTGTGAGTGTCGTTCCCACTACTTTTTGCTTTCCCATGTCGTCTTCCGTGTTGTTGTATTACCCAACTGTCGTACCCTTTCATGCCATCCATCTAGCCCTCTCGCGCTTGGTCCTCTATCGGCAGCTGCGACAGTACCGCCCAGCTAGTCACCAGATGTGACACAAGCACACCGCTCATCCAGCTCGGACATTTACTAAGTGGTATTCCAGTCGCCTACGAAGTATCTCCATTGCCTTTCAGCCCCCTCGGCCTATTACGGCCACATGAACGCCCCGGAATCAGAAGCTCTCGGAACCCTCGACCAGACGCATATCACAGAAGACGGAAGTTCGTAGGTTGTTACAAGGGCTGAAGCCTTCTAAGGTCTCTGGGTCTGATTTAATTCACCCGAAACTTGCATGAGTTGGCTGCGGAACTAAGTGGACCGCTCGCTATCGTGTTTCAGAAACTGTTTGACAGCTGTGCATTACACCTTCCAAATGGAAGGAAGCTGTCATCTGTCCCATCTTCAAAAATAGGAGCAGGAGTCTACCTGAAAATTACAAGCCAGTTGGTCTGGAGAGTGTAGTAGTGATACTCCTCGATAAACTGGTGAGAAATTCACCGGAGAGTAGATTTAATCTACTTAGAAATGTATAACACGGATTCCGGAAGGGATTTTCGTGTCTGACGAATCTATTGGTGGCTCGCGAAAGTTGATCGGATGCAGTGGATAACGGCCAATCACTGGACGTGCTTATAGTCGACTTTTCGAAGGCATTTGGCAAGGTACCCCGTTTGAGGCTCACGCAAAAACTGACCTCCTACGGGGTATCTGACCGCGCCCTTCATTGGGTGACCGCCTTCTTGGATGGTAGAGAACAGTGTGTACGGGTAGGCCGTGACCTACCGTTTAGGCAGTCTGTCCTCAGTAGCGTGCCGCAGGGCTTGGTCCATGGACTACTGCTATTCTTTATCTATGTGAATGACCTACCCGCGGAGCTTGAGGTACGGTCGCTGCTATTTGCTGATGAGCTGAAGCTGTGGAACATTGTCGATGTTCTTTAGGGTTCCGAAGCTATTCAGCGAGCCTTAGATAAGCTTTGGGACTGAGACTGTATGTAAGAGCAAGTAGAAAGGTTTCTGTACAACTCTATCGTATTACGAAAAAGCAAAAACATTTAGTTGTGAATCATCAGCAGTTGTGTCTGGTCCGTTAATCGTTTTTGCATGCCAGCCCACCGACACCCGCGACGTGCGTTGTTTGCGCGCCGGGGGTGTGGATGGAAGAAGAGGAGGGGTGGCCAAGCGATGACTTGGTCGAGAGGAATGAAGGCCCTCACTTCTGATCTGGCCTCGGTTGGAGCGTCTCGGCTCCCTAGTTGGGGTCTGAAAGACGATGAACACGTTTGGTTGGACATACTTGCTGATATGGCTAGGAGCCGACTTCAGTGGCGTTCGTGCTGTGAGTTTCTTTGTCCCAACCCATCCCTCTTAGCCTCCCTCCAACCACGATCTCATTATTTAGCCTTATATAATTTTGCATAGTAATTTTTCTGATGCACAGTAGCCGGCTGGTAGTTTACCGGAATGATGTCCATCCGTTACCAGTAGCTCAGCCAGTTTGCACCAGTTGCTGTTTTTCTCCTTTTTTCTATGTATTGCGGCACAGTAGCTGAGGTGTTCCCCACCTTTAGCTAACGTGCATGATGACGATGAGCGTTTATCCTTGTTCGGTTAGGAATTTGTATCGGTGTCATTATTTCCGGGCATATGATGTCTTCTTTTGGCATTGCATGTGCATCGTTTACAAAAGCACAGGTTTCCGAAATAATCGTCGATACGGGTTTTAAAACACTTCACAGAATCGGCCTCTATTAATTCTGCTGGTAGTGTATTCCATAAGTTTACGATTCTTCGTTCGATATAAATCTGAAGTGATACTTTGTTCATGCTGGGGACCCTGAGTTTGTAACGGTGTCCTCGAGTGTTACAGGGTTCGCGCAGGTGAAATATTGGCCGCAGTATGGGAAAGTGATTTAAGTGTACTACTGGATGAGTCATAATAAGGTCAATTCTTACTCGGCGATAGGATAGTGTGTAGAATCCGAGCATTTCACAACGTTTTTCATACGGAAGCTTTCGTACACTCGGTATCATTCTAGTTGCGATATGCTGTATTTTCTCCAGCTTTTCAGTTTCCCACTGGGTTATCGGATGGTAAGCTTGGGCACCGTATTCAAGGATTGGTCTAATGAGCGAGGTGAATAGACGAGGGACGGTTTCTTCGGACCATGTGGAGAAACTGTGTCTTAATGCCCAGAGCATACGGTACAATTTCTCTGTATTTTCTAGTGATCTTATACCATGTTTTGAGAGAACTCCTAAGTCTCTGACAGATGTGTTGGGATGGACCAACTAGCCGTCCAAGGTGTATGATTGAGTGGCTGGACGTCTGGTGATACTGATGAACTCCGACTTGCTTGCGTTAAGAGGGAGTTGTATTTAGTGGACCACGTTGACAGTCGATTTAAGTCATGCTGGAGGCGAGCGCAGTCGTCCTGGTTCTCAATGATCCTCCAGATTTTCAAATCATCTGCAAACAAGGCACATGGTAACTGGAGCTGCTGCGGAAGATCGTTGATATGAATAAGAAAGAATACTGGCCCAGGTACAGTTCCTTGAGGCACGACACTGGTCGATGGAAACCAGTTTATCAGGTAGTTATTGACCTGTACTCTAAACCTTCGTCCCACAATAAACTCGTGTAACCACTGAAGTAACGTGCCACCGATTCCGTATGTCCTCAGTTTACCAAGGAGTACCTCGTAGTTCACTCTGTCAAACGCCTTACTAAAGTCGATGTACACCACGTCAACATCCTTCCGTTCGTTGAGAGCTCGTACCCACTGGTGGTTTGCGTACATCAAGTTGGTAATGCAGCGTCGCCCTTTCGTAAAGCCGTGTTGCACTGGCGTCAATACGTCCATCGATTCGAAGAACGACAGCAGACACTTTTTCACAACCTTCCCGAGAACTTTGGATAATACCGAAGTCAAACAGATCGGTCTATAGTTCTCTGTTTTACTCGGATCACCACCCTTGGGAAGCGGTCTCACTATCGAGCATTTCCAGTCGTTCGGGATAGATCCTTCAGAGAGCGATTTATTGTATAGGTTTGTCACGGCTGGTGAGATGATAATCGGTAGGGACTTGAGTGTTAGTGGGTGAAGTCCGTCTGGTCCTGGGGGCTTTGCACCATCGAGGTTGAAGAGAAGCTGATACACTTCGACTGCATCACATTGTAGGCTGTCGAGCAAGACTCTTGCCGGTACTGAAACCACCGCCGGTTTACTGGAAAATACAGTGAGGAAGTGCGTAGCCAAGGCGTCCACGCGCTCCGCGCTTGAAATGAGCGTCTTTCCGTCCAAGCTCTCTAAGACCGGTAGGTCGTCCCCAGGTTTCCGTTGACGTTTCAAGTAGGCAAATATTCTTTTGGGTGCAGTTGTGGCCGAGTATGCTAGCTCCTCTGTAAACTGCCGGCGCTTCTTGATCTTTGCTGTGTTACATAAGTTAGGCTGTTTCTTGTACACCGTCTAATCTTCATCACAAGCCGAGCTGATGTATCTATCCCAAAGTTTGCGACGCCGTCGCGCTAACTGTATATATTCCCTATCAAACCAATGCGGTTTGACAGGTCCGATTTTTGAATACTTCAAAGGAAGGAACCGAGTACAGAGCGAGTTAAGCTTCCCTTTCATTAATGACCAACAGGCCTCAAGTGACGCATCGTGTGGTAGTGTCCAATCAGTCTGACTTGCGGCTTGGACGAGTCCGTTGAAGTCCGTCTTCCAATAGTTGAATGTCAGCTCCCGTTGATTGTAATATGGTAACGACAGTTCTAAGCTTGCCACAATGGAGCAGTGATCACTGTTCGCCAGAGGTTCGATGACTCTGTTCTCGTTCAGCTTCTGCTCGCAGCTCGTAAAAATTAGGTCCAGACAAGATGCCGAGTACGGAGTTATGCGCGTCGGTTGGATGGCATGTTACGTTGTCCAGATTTCAATAGTCATTTTAGCGAATCGAGTCTCAACGTTGCCATGACCGGGAAGAACTCGAACGTCTGGCCAAAATACCTTAGGTAAATTTAGATCCCCATCAGTAAGAACTGAGGGCAGCTCATGTGCTTCTGTACATGTGGTAGCCAATCGCAACAACGGTTTAATGGGCTCCGGTAGATAACCCCCACTATTAGTTCTGTGCGCCTGAGGCGGATTGTGCACCAAAAGTGCTCGCATGAACTATCCTCGCTCCGATAGGTGATGGTAAGTTTGCCAGATAGCGACTATTTTATGTACAACAGAACACTACAGTGAGCCTTTGATATTCGGTCGCATCGGAAACAAAAGTATTCTGACAACATGACTTCTTGGGGTATGATGTCGGAGTTCAGCCAAGTCTCTGCAAGTCCTAAAACCTCCGGCCGCTTCGAGACAGTGAAGTGGCACAGTTCGTCACGTTTGTTCATTAGGCTGCACACGTTGGCGAATGCCACACAGAGGTCCTGGGAGGTACTGCGGGACGTGCCTGGAGGTTGAGCAATCGGTTGATACGGGTTCGTACGCCTTTCTTGATCACCCGAAAATTTACAATTTGTAAGTCAGTCTCACCTTCCTCTGTACGGCGTTTGAGCTCAATGACCGCAGTCTTCAAACGATTGCTGCCTTCGGGTTCCAAGTCTCGGCGGATGTGAACTTTTATGCCTTTCATCCTTGACAGACAAGATAGTATGAGCTGCGGCATATTGGGATTTGCGAAGGTGATTCTCAGAGGTCGACATGATTGGTTAGTTGTCTGGCCAAGTCGGATTACTTGTTTAATCGTCACACTGTCTTCGCCCACATCCAAGAGTCTATCGGTGTGTCCCTGGAGGAAATCAACATCGTGATCATAACGTATCTGAGGGTTTTCATCTTTTGACTCCGGTACGTGGAAGACCATGAGATTATGACGCCTCAGCGAAATCAGTGATGAACCTGTCGGAGCTGAACTAGAGGCGCTTAACTGATTGGGTTGTTGTTTATTAGCAGGTGACGTCTGAACTCGATTATGTGGGCCCTTGCGCTTTTGAGTGGTCCATGGATCCTTGGTGTTCAGAAGTTCACAGACAGTCTCTGAGAAATTCACGGACCGATCAGTGAAGCGGCATTTCATAGCTTCTGAGTCTGAGTCATCCATCGGTGGGGAACATTGAACCTGGGGCTCGGCCGGGGTCGAAGACGCTAGTGGTGGTGCAGATCGCGGGGTGACAATAGAAGGCGAGGTGACAGAGTTACTTTCACGAGGGCGTTTGATCCCACGTGATGAACGGTTTGTTTCTATCTGAAAGAGAGATTACCCCGTAGTTGTTTGCGGTCGCTGCGTCTTCTGATGTCTTGTACCGCGATATTTACCACATATAACTTGAAAAAACCGCTGTCAGATGTCGAGCGATTTTCGAAACACGTCAACGGATAAGCCAATGCACGAAATATGGAACAAAACATCACAGCCGAAGCACCGAAGTGCATGAGCCTTATTTCCCACAACTTCCGAACATGAACCACAAGTAGCTTGAGACGGCATGACAAGCTAGAGCAAATCCAAGATGGCGGACAGAGATGACAGTAGGGCAAATCAATGAGATCTCCGGAATTAGAGAATAGCCACCAAATTTGCACCGCTTGGAAAATACGCCAAAAGAAGAATATTGGCGCACAATTTCCACAGATAAAACGCTGATAACACAGTAATCTGAGGCAAAAGTAGTATCCAGCACACGCTGATGCAAAAACCTGCGACTGGTCTACTTGATGGTTACTGCCTAAAAATCAGGCAAAGTGCTCTGTGCTTCGAACTGTAGGAGGTTGTCCTCCAGCGAAGTACTTGCTCAGTGGGGTCGAATTCCCCCGTGTATCAAGCCAGGTTGATCTAGGCGTCGTACACACTTCGACTTTACACTCCGGCGACAATTGGAAGAAAGGCGCAAGCAGAGGTTTTCACATGTGGTTAATACGACGTTGATTCGGAATCTTGGTGGGCGGCACCTTTTCGAGACTGTTCTCGGCTTTCATTTGGCCTCATCTAGAATACTGCGTCCAGGCTAGTTCGTCTTGCCTCGTCCGGGACAAAATGGAGCTAGAGAGGGTTTTACGGGTGAGTACTAGGTTAGTTGAGGGATTAGGGGAACTGAGGTACCCCGAGCGTCTACTTGGTTTGGGAATACATTCAATGCACTACCGAAGACTTAGAGGAGACCTAATCCTAACCTACTGTATCTTAACTGGGAAGGTTGATCTAAATTTATCATGGCTATTCAGTCCCGTTAGATTGTTTGATTCACGCAGTCATTCCATAAAGCTGGACAAACCGCGGTCCGATCAGATTAGGGTGGAAATCCGACTGTCAGTCGAGTAATCGAGCGCTGGAACATGCTTCCGGAAAGTGTTATCAGGGAATCTACGGTTAAGGGGTTTGAGCGGCAACTTGACGCTCTTGGGTGGCAACACGAAACCTTTCCATTTTCCTGAGTAACTCGCATCGTTATACTTCGAGTTCCTTTTCGCTACTTCTCTTCATGCATTGGTATTGTTTTCTTATTTCAAGTGAACTTCCTTATCCTGTACCCTCGATTGCTCTTCCTATCCTTCGCTTACTTCACGTGACTGCCACAACAGGGACTGCTAGGGCAGGAAATGTGGATATTAACTGGTTGGCCAGGGTGCGATACGGGTGTTCCGTTTGAGCTACATCAAGAACTCTGAGCGCTCCATCAATTCCTGTCTCAACGATTTACTAACGATGGAACACTTACGGGGTTTTCCTATCGTTACAGTCCCATCCGAACTTAAAGTTGAGCTACCAGAAAGAAGCACGTGAAAGATTGTGGTTTTTACAATATCTATTAAGAACTTACTGCACCTAACTAAGGTCATAATCTTTTCATCTGTACTTTGCATTATTATTTCGTTTTCGATGCTTTTAGTGCAGCCATCTTCTGTTTGACATTACGCCGTCATACCGATAGCGAATCCCGTGTGTTTTCATACTGAGAAAAATTTGGTTTTGTCCGTTTTTTCAGTGATTCAAACAGCCTTTGAAGTGCGCAAAAAATTTTCGGAATCTTCTGCTGGTCTATTGATCATCATGGTGTGCAAGTGACTAGATTGTGAGAAAGGTGTCACTACAAGTTCAAAGACGGTTCAATGTTCTTTCTGAAACGGCTAGTTGCATATCACTTGTTATGGTATCTCATAAAATTTATGCGAGTGCCTTCAGCAGCATCCTGCTCCTCTATTAGTAAACACCGGCCCATGATGCACGCGACAATAGACAAGGAGAACAAGGCGCCTACTCTTTCAAGCCGGAATCCCGTTGAGAACAAGTAGAAGAATATAGCGAGATGTAAAGTTTGACATTTGGAATACAATGCTCAACGATTGTCCCTCATGTGGACTATGCAACCGAAGAGAAATCGTCCTGGAACTTCTGTGGCAAGTGAACAATCCCGCGACTAGCGATTATCATGATATCTACAGTTCATGTTCCGCTCCACATGTTAGTGATGAGAGTGAGCATAGTTATATTTCCGTTGTTCATCAGCCATACTGAATTTACCTGGGCTTATGAAAACGCGAATACTAAGCGCATTGAAGGCGGAAGGGCAGAGACGCCCACCAGAAGTTGAATTGGACATGGACAATCTTCTGGATAGATTAAAAAAGGGTTAAGCCCCACGGGAATGGTACGTCAGTGTCTTAGTATAGGGCATCGGAAAGGAATCGGCGCATAGCGACAACCGTTTTAGGAGCACCGAGTGGATGCACCCGAGAAGTACGATGCACATCGTTACCAAATAGCTTATGGCCGCAGCAGAGTACACATCGGTACGTACCAACGGTTGAGTACTTGCATGACAGCCATACTAAGTCTTGAACATTTGCAAAACAATGTGAACACTGTTCGCAAAGCCGCATGTTTGACAGTGGGCAGCGGGACTTAGTTGATGTAGTACTGTGGTGGTTGTTGTGCCAACGAGGCCGTAAGCAGCGAAAATGTGGCATTGCCACCTGTTAATGCTTAACATCATCATCAACAGCAGTACATCAGCCATTTGAACTGATGCTTCGCTGCCATACAACCATGTGGACCTATGAAATCAAGAATAAGAAGAGGGAGAGAAGGGGGACTTACCTGAAAACCTGAATGCCATAAACAAACATTCAGGGCCAAGGCGCCTGCACCTTGTGTAGACAACATACCGTCACAACCAGCTGGCTATCGTGCAAAGATAAGGCGGCATCGGTGAGACAGCTCCTTGCGGCTTTCACTGCTCCGCGTCATAGTCAGCCATTACCCCGCAGATAACTCAGCACCAAACACACTTTAAACAGGCAATCCAATTAGGAGATGGCAGCAGACGCGCCACTGGTGTCTACTGCGAGCCCATTGAGCTATACTGGATGATGCCTCCGGGCACCTTGAGAGCTACTCCTACCAGGTGGGTCAATGGTGAGAGGTCAGACAAACTCAGTCTCCTGGTCCTCCAGGTTGGGGTTTGAAATGGGATGGTGTCCATTTCCGTAAAACTAAATCATTGTCAATGCTTAAGGTTGCGCAACAATCGTTCTTTGAGAATCTGAACGTACCTCGGGCATCAGATGACCGGGCCGGTTGGCGACACGGAGAGCCTGAGGTGAACACCCCATCGCCTTCGCACACTGTGCAATCTCGCAAACCAGACTGTACATATAGACGGCAACACATAAGTATACACTATTTTACCGTACCACTTATTTCTTTAGCATTCTACCTAGCAACCGTACGGATGGCAGTTGCTTCACTATTCCTATATCGATTTCGTTCAAATATGGATACCCAAGATGTAAGGCTGTCATTTAATTTCACGTCTAAATGTGAAAGAAAACTCCAACAGTTCGTATTGGGTACTTATTCTCAAGCCTGCGAAAGTGTATGTTAGCCTGACTTCCAAAAGAAACCCATACAGGTCGTTAGTACTATTGTTCATAAGGTTTAATGTGTCTCTATCCAATTTGGTGCAGTTCATAGTTAAGTTTAAACAAACGCATGTGCAGATGTTGTATTCGAATTGCTGTTGGACACGGATGACGCCAATCGATGTATATTTGTATAACGAATGAATTCGACGAGAATACTCATAACGCTATTGTACGGCAACTTAGTGCAGGGAAGCGGCACTGGGGCAAGTCGAAAATAACATTACCAAGACATGAAGAAGGGGAGTAAATAACGAACTAAGGTTGATTTCCGGTGTTGCGAATCCAAGGCAAAGTTGATGCGTGCGAATTCCGTGGACCGATCGAGAGGGCGTATGCCCATGTGCAGGAAAAGGCACTATTGCACGCGGAATAGAAGCATGATGCGTACGCCCCCATTCGATTTACTAATCCAGGCCAATAAGGCGGCGTATGTGGTGCGTTTGCCTGCGTGATGAGAATTCTTGCATTTCAGAAGTAGATGTTGATTAAACTCCCCGGTGTGGCTGCGCCTGATGTGAATGTTGACAAGGTGCCTACCTGTCTAATACCCTCCACCTCAAGTGCTGGCTCCAGCAGACAGTTGGTCGTTGCTGATGGGGACGGGGTGCACCGTCCTCGTGACGGTCCTAGGCTCAAAGAGTGGTTCCATGCCTCCTGTGTGGAACGACCTACGGCCCAGCCACCGCCTTGTGAACTTCTAGTGTGCATGATTTCCAAATTAGGCCTGAATGCTTCCGTTCTGTTTGTAGAATGAGTATGGGCTGGCTCTGTTGAAGAAACGTGGCTCCCATCCACATGCCTCCCGGTCTTATTCCTTCGGGTTTACACTGGATATGGGGTGTATGAATGGTGAAGCGCCAGCCACCCATGGTTTCTCTTTAGGTGCAGGCGACCTGTGGCTGTCCCCGTGGAGGCCACATTGACAGGCAAATCCGGATACGGATGCCGCCAATCCGTATATATATATATATATATATATATATATATATATATATATAATATTATACACAATCTGTGGTACAGATATTGTGCCATCAGAATCATGGCTGAATAGGAAAACAATATGAATAATAAGAAAAGAGCAACAACAAATGCTTTTTTGTCTATTTTACCACTCACAGTTTTTTGAAATTATTTCAGTTTGTTCTTTTGTAGGGGGAGGAAGAAAGGACACCGCAACAAACCGATGAACACGTCCGCCATTGACATCGATCTTGAGCCATGGCTTCCAAGGTCTTCAACCAGCAATTATCCGCATCTCTCGGACCCCAACCAGGTAGTCGACAACAACCGGCCGAGGCCAACTGTTTCGTCAACTTTTTCATGCGGCTTCTCCATGTTGTAGGCTGTCCATCAGACCGTCTCTTCCAGCCCTGTCCAGCAAGTGCAAAGAACGCACGACTGGGATAATGCTGGACAGGCATGCGCAATACGTGTCCCAACCACCGCAGTTGATGCAGTGAGACGAGCTCCTCGAGCGAGTGGCTTCCACGTCCCAAGACACGCTGTCTAACTTCCACGTTGCTTACGTGGTGCTGCCACCACACATGGGCAATGGACCTCAGACAGCGGTGCTCGAAGACGGATAGCCTGCGCAAGTCATCTTTACAGATGGGCCAGGTCTAGCATCTGTACAAGAGTACAGCACGAACAGTTGCACAATAGACCCGCCCTTTGATGGAGAGACGAATATCGTGGCGACACTACAAATGCCTCAGCCTAGAAAACGCGAGGCCTGCTCTCGAGATGCGCATCGAAATCTCGTCTCCAACAGCCCTGCCAGCAGTGATGCAACTTCCCAAGTAGACAAAGCTCTCCACAACCTCTAGTGTCTCACCAGCAAGAGTGAGTGCAGGCAGAGGCACCTGCCAGTCTTGGAAGAGAGACTTGCATTTGGATGGCGAAAAGTACATACCGTACTTTGATGCTTCAATCGCCAAGCGGTTTAGTGCAAGTTGGACGACGTGTGGATCGTCACCCAGCAAGACGATATCATCAGCATAATCCAAATCAACAACTCGACTACCTGGGAGGAGCTAAACGGCAGAGTTCAATGAATCGCCCAGAGCGTTCTTCAGGTCATCCTCAATGACAAAGTTGAATAGGGCATCCTTGTCGAACTCCACTGGAGACCACAAAGGTAGGCGAAAGCATGCCATAAGCCCTAACCCTGCCCGAGGTAAGACTACATAGAGCGCGTAGTATGGAGACGAACTTCTCGGGGACATCATTCCTCAGTAGGCAATGCCACAGTACTGTACGATCGACAGAATCGAAGGCTGCACGGATATCCAGGAACACAGCAATCGTTGGCCTCTAATACACATGGCGGAGCTCGAGAATCTGGCGAAGTGTGAAGATTTACTCGATGCAGCCGCGACCAGGGCGAAACCCAGCTTGTTCTTCTCGTTGCAACGATTCGCGTGTTGGGGATAGCCTGCGAAGTATGATGGACACCAGCAGCTTGAAAACGACGGGGACTAAGCTTATTCCTCTGTAGTTGGAGCAGATTGTGCGCAGGACCTTTTTGAAGATGGGGACGACTATCGATTCACCCCAAAATGACGGAACTTTCTCTTTCGACCAAATTTTCGAGAACAAAGCGGTGCGTTCTTGGACCAGTGATGCGCCACCATCTTTAAATAGAGCCGGAGAAAGACCATCAGGGCCGGGGGTTTAATAACGCTTCATGTGTCGGAGCTCCTGCTCGATTTCCTGGGAAGAGGGAGGATCCGTGGGGGTAGACCACTCGGCCCCAGCGCGAGCGCCAGAGGTAGAAGATGGAGCTGGGGGCCAACAAAACTGCGAGCCAAAATGTTCGGCCCATCGCTCCAACCGTCGTGGAAGATTGGTACATAAATAAATAAATTTATATATATATATATATATATATATATATATAAAAGCAACAGTTTAATTAGTAGGCACAGAGACATACAAAACCGTGGGAATCAGCGCAGGATAACTGAAAGAATTTTAAAAAGAGAAACAGTATATTTTCTGTTATTTTTCACGTGCCGTTTATTCGTCTCAGCATACTTCATCTATAATGCATTAAAATGTTGAATCCAAACAGGTCTGCACACAAATCTCTCATTGGCTACAATCGCGCGCGGCTTTGCTATAAGGCTGCTACCATGCTTTGAAGATGTCACATAGATTGGCTGAGAAACATATGCAAGCAAATTTCCAAGCTCGGCGAATAAGTCAACATCTCAACATCCAGCCCTCATAATCCTCATAACCATTTCGCAGAAAGTTTCTTTTCCTCCTTCTTGTCGCTTTTACTCATGCGTTGTGGCACTCTGCCACTTGTTTATTGGTCAAGTGCTAAATACAACACTCAGTCCGAGCTACCGGTATTTCAACTGCAAATATTAAGAGACCATCCATGTTTGAAAATATCTTTGAAGAACGCCAGATGGGTATCACAGACGTTCGCGATTCGGTGTTTAGCAATAAGCCTTCTGCAGCGGCACTGGAGGTGTGCTGAACTCAAACCACTTACCTTGTTTTGAGCAAGCCCTTTGCAAAACCGCCAATATGGTGTTTCGAGGTGTATGTCTACTAATACTGCACATAAGTAGCTTGAACCGTGGGGCGACAGGTCGTTGCGATGACAGAGAGCAGAAGTAAAGTTATAGAAAATGGTCCAGGTTGGTATGTTTCGTGTTCCTGAATGTGCCGTCGCGAAATAAATGGGCGATAATACCTTTGACACTTAACTACCACAACTGAAGATATATCTTATTTGGACCAATACTACAAGATTATCATTGACTATTTTCTGTAGCATGATTTGGTCGTTATGGCTTTGTGGCCACGTGAGACAACGTGACTGGATATGTCGCACATCGGTGAGTGGATCCTATGTGGTCAACCGTATTGAAATGATATAAATAAAATAAATTCGTATATTTACCGACAAGCGATATACGGCTTCAAAGTGGGAACGATCAGTTACATACAGAACTAGTGTCATGGCTTACGCAGCCTAAACCTTATACTAAAAGCAAAAGACGACAACAGGATTTCGGATCATGAATATTCCCTCGGATCATCGACCCGATTACAAAAACGCAAGACGTACGGATATTTGTACCCCTGTTTCAAATTTTCTAGGTAGCGAAACGCGGGAACAGTCATAAGTTGGGTAGGGAAGAGTAGGTTTAATTTCATAGGTAATGATAAAGAGAAGGTAAGTTGATTGTAGGCTGCTGACTGCTCATATGTTGTTTACACCTGCTTTCGTCAATGCTTCTGGAGATTTTTGTCTACCAAGTGTCTTTAACACATTCGGGATAGTGAGGAAAGTCTCTAGAGAATTTCGGAACGTGGTATGGTTAAGACTCGTGAGTGATTATAGTGGTCGTCGGTTCCACAGATTGGCATAGCTCACTAATAAGTTGATCGGATTTGATGACTCTGAGGTCGAAAAGTAGCTTCCGTTACGGGTGGGATAGACGGCCATTTTCTGTAGCCCGAGAGCGGTATTCTCTATGAAAATCCGCTTATCTATAATGTTAAAGAGAAGGAGATTGTTTTTAAATCGTCTCAGACAGAGAGGGTTGAGTATCTCCTCAAGAGCAACACAGTAAATGATCGTTGGACATTTTCTAGAGTTGTTATGTCTTTTTTGCTCATTTGGTCCTAAGTAGGTCTCAAGATTACTTTGGATGATTTAAATCATGTTTCAAGTAAGGAGAAAGCTCTAGTGATGTAGCTGGATTAGTGGTCTGGCCTTTACAACTTGGTACAGTATATTTTCAGGAAAATTGAAGTTGGTATACCTAATTCTCAAGTTCCGCTGAATCAGTGGTTGGTATCACCTTACCGGCAAACGTGAGAGAACCTTCCGGGATGCGACATCTGTGGCCACGTACTTGGGATTTGCATACGAATAATTCCGTTAACAGACGCTTACTAGAGATACTAAGTATATGCTTCCCAGGCACTCTTGCAGTTGGTCTGGTTGAAATGACCAGATCAGTTTGACGTCGTCTGCAAACAGAAATAAGTGTCCGTGTTTACTGGGATCGCATATGTTGATGTAGATTAGGAAAAGTAGTGGTCCAAGCACACTTGCCTGGAAGACACCACTGGTTATCTGTTTTTGTGTAGAACTTTGACGACATATTCTAACTTTTTGGGCTCGATTGTTTAGGTATAAGTCGAATCAGCTTAGCAGAAGGATTCCAATGCCATAGGACTCTAGCACGTATAACAGTGGTCTGCGTGGCAGGCGGTCGAAAGCCTTTTACATGTCCAAAAGAATTATGATGATTGTCATTTCTCCGTCAAGCATAACCGTAATATGATGGAAGAATTGTAGGTGGTAGGAACATAGAAGCGCTTTGAGGGAAAGTCATGTTGTGAGAGATTGAGCAGGTCCAGTCGTCTGCGAAACTGAACAGCGTTCTTCTTGACTATTCTTTCTAGGAATTTCGAGGCAGCAGGTGTGTGAGTTATCGGACGGCAACTTGACATTTCATTTCGAGGGCCGCCTTTGTGTTTCGGTAGTTTGATGGATTCTTTCCACTGAGATGAAGAGCAGCCAGTAGTTGGCGAAAGAGTGAGTATGTCCAATAACAACAGGGCTATTTTTCCACCGAGCGTCGTGACAGCTGGGGAGAATGCCATCTGGTCGCGGATGGGTTGATGGTTTTATGGGCGCGGTGGCGCCCTGCACCACCTTCAATGTCACAGGAATATAGCAGGGTAGCTCGTTTGTCCTTCTTGGGAGTGGAGGGTGAGACAGTTGGGCGTCAAGGACAAAGGAGGAAACAAAGCTGGAGTTGAGTGACTCGCATACACAGAAGATGTCACGACCTGATGAACAGTTGTCTAAGTTTAGTGTTTCAATTTCCTAATGAGGTTTAAGGTTGCTACTCTTGAGTAGCGGAATCAGAGTGCGTACCTTTGCAGGATTTATAAGTGCTCGACTCTCCTCATTGATTTTGGCTGTCTGGATCAGACGCTGTAGTTGCAATAGAGCCTTAGGTAACCGCAGTAATTTCCCAAAGCTGCTGCTCTCGCCATATGATGATTTAAATTTCTTTAAATTGATTGCGGCTTTGTTGAGATGTTTGTGCTGACCTTTATGTTTGCAGGTAGTGCTCCATACGACGGGTGCCAGCACATCCACATATAGGACAATATTGTTGACAAATTCATTTGCAGCTGCAAAAGAGTTATGGGTTGAAAATGACTTGTTCCAGCTCGTAGTACTGATAAATTCATTAAATGCGTTCCAGTCAACCTGATGGAGGTTACGATTTGGCGTAAATACTCCACTTGATGGTTTAGATGATTCAACAGTCATGTTACAAAGTACAGTGTTGTGAGCACAACCCGGTAGTAGATTTTCAACGGATACAAGTGCGGAAGCGATACTCACTGTGAATAGAAGATCTAGGGTAGGGGCACTTCTTGTGGGCTAAATAACATGCTGGGCCTAGCCAGAGATAGAAACAAGAGATTATTTCTTCATACCCCGCAGTGGCCTAGGGAGTAGTCGGCAACCGGTTAACATATGGCAGGTCGGAAGATCCGCACATAACTGTAAACTTCTGGGTGGTGGTGGAGGTTAAATCGATCAAACCAAATAAATTTTGGGTTTCACAATGTCCGGCTCGGAGAGGCCAATAGATACATCCCCTAGAAGATCAATAGATGTGATCAACAACCATAGTGCATCTTCTAGGTCAATTAGTCCATTTTGATCAGCAGGTTTAGAGTTAAGCAGATATCGGTCAATATAAATAAAAGTAAACAGACAGAGAAGGCTGGTCATAAAAAGAAAAATACAACCAGACAAATAGGGTGACGTCATAATAAGATAAAACCTAGCACCTAATGAAAGGAGATGAAAACGCGGACAAATGATTCGGTACGGGTTATGCATGTGACATTGCCGGATGGAATGTATAGGATAACAATGCTGATTATTAGATATGCTGCCTGAATTCCAGAAGTCAGTGACCCTTCTGCATCCAATCCATTGCTTCTACCCTACCCTAATCCTAGTTCCTTTCCTTCGAACCGTTGTCGTAATAATTTTGTATCTCTCCTCTTCAGTACCTGGCATTATTAGCGATTCACCTTTTTGTGCTAACATGGATCAGGTCAACCGGTTCCTTCCCATAGATGTGTTCACTTATCGTTGACTGTATAAGCAGCTCTGACACGAGAGTATGGGTGTGCTGGAGGAAAATATGAGACAGACTTACCATAACATGCAGGTGCTTAAAGAACACGACACTCGTTACTTGTGAGTATGGGTTTTTGGTTCAAGTAATTGCGCGTTCTTCACAGTATCCACCAAATCAGTTAGGCTTTCACACAGCCCTAGAACAGCATTCCGTGTTATAGGAAGCCGTGGCTCCAGGGCTCAACACTGTCGTCAGCATCTTTCATAACTTGCATATCAGTGGAGGATTAGCCGCAATATATCGCAGTTAACTGGTAGATTCTGACAGTCTGTCGTTGTCATATATATCCTAGTAGCACAATTTGCTGCAAGTCACTATTATTTAGAAGTTTTAAACCCGGTTCCTATTGATATCGGGGATCCGCACCACTGACAAGTCCCAATGAAAGGAAACGGCCGTTGGGCGCTTTTCCGGACGTCGCGAACTGTAGTAGACCTGAGGGAAACTGCGAAGAATTCCCAGTTAATTAACTAGCACTCAGTTTAACTCCTGGTAGCTGACCAGTGACTCTACTTAGGGGACTACGGTAGGCTGGTACATTACTTGACCATCCAACTCAGTGACGCTTGCAAACAATGCATATAGCAATAAACAACGCTTTGTAGGAAAATAGTCAGAGTCTACAGGACGAGAGGGTGTGCTCAGTTAGTCATTGATTAATCCCTTGTTGCATCAAAGTTTGGTCGAGCAAATCCTTTGTAAGTTATATTCCTGATAAAACAAGGGTGTAAACCCGAAAACGCCAGGGATTTGGACTGACAGGTAGCATGTTAGGTGACATTTTTCACAACTGTCCAGCATAACCAGGTTATACTCTTCAAGTTCAAACGAATGTTACATTGGTGTCGCAGATACTGTAGTAGAGTTTGTCCGCATTGATCACGTGCAGTCCAGTCTGTATAATAATTGTATTTCCCAGCAAAAGCCATTTCCGTTGCCTTCCGGCATCGGTGCAATATAATCCTAAAAGAAACACAGCCAGCGTTTCATGGCAGGTTGATGTATGAGCAAAGGCTAACAAGATTCGTTCAGGTTATCGGGAGTAAAGCACCAAACCACCAAGAAGTTACATTCTTCTTCGGTTACTGCGAGGTCTAATGGGGAGCTGTTGCGACAAGTGTTATTCGCGCAGCGTGGCAAAGTAATATATATATATATATATATATATATATATATATATATATATATATATATATATATATATATATATATATATATATATCAAATAAACGAATCGATTTCAAGGAGCAGAATGTGAATAGCATAGTCTGGTGAGTAATAACATGTGGCTTGCATAGTAACGTGAATCGCGGCCGAATAATAACGCGAAAAGTAAGATACCGTAGCTCACCGTTTCGGTATGTCACCGTACTAAACTTCATTTGAGAACTTAGCCAGAATAGCATAGGTTATGATGAGTACAACAGTGGAGTGTGCAACACGTGAAGTCATCAAGAAATACAACCGAGTTAATTAAGCCCAATAAAGGTAGGTTAGATGTGGCTCATCCGTTATAAGCAGATGCAATGAAGATACTACATTGCACCAAGTCAGTAGTTGAGCATTCTAGAGTGCAACCGTACCCAAATGCAACTTACATGCGCGATAGAATAAGTATGACACAAAGAAGAGGATGATAAGGGAGTAAGCAACTTTACAAGTTGGCAGGGAAGTGGTGCGATAAAGTCCATTGATTTTTATAAGCTCAGCTAAACTCCGTGGTGAAAGAAGGGGAACTATAGCTAGGCTCAATTTAACTAATAAGTAGAAACACAGTAGAACAGTGATGACTTATTGTTGGTGTGTGCTGTGAATGCCGTCTCATATATTAACTGCAGGCTATCCGTGTCGGAAGGTAAACCAGAGCCGGTCCGGTCGTCTGTTATCCGGTGTGAGCGACAATCAACAGGTATGTAGAATCACCCGGCAGTCCGTTGTGTGTTACTATTTATTTCCCCCAGGTCGTTCATTTTGAGCACTAGCATATCTCGACCAATTCATCAGTCTACCCCGTCTCAACCCAAGGCAACCGACCGAGGCGGTAGACAGGTTAAACTTCCGGTACGTTTTACAGATTTTGTAAACATATACTATTTTTATGGATACGCCTATTTCGTTTTTAGTGACAATCGTGGGTCTCGTTTTGTACAATAGACAAAAAACCAAAAAGGCTAAAAAGCCTATTTGCTTTTATCGTGCGTGCCATGTTCCCTCTCCGGCGTCAAGCCACTTCCATCGACCCTTGTCCACCCCTCTGAGTTCTGCCTTCCAGAAACTCAACCATCGACGGAGCCAAGGCAACCCTCGAGTGACGCCGTAGACCGTGGACAGCCACGACCGGATTAGTCCCCAAACGCCTGGTTACGCGTTGCCGACGAGACGCCTGGATTTCTTCGTGGTACGAGGACCGTGGACTGGAGCGGGGTGGAGAGTGAGACCTCTCAAGCACACCGCCGGGTCCGCAGCGGAGAGAATGTCCTGTCGGCCTTTTTCCTGGACCAGCCAGTTTTTTTGCAGTCCGACCAGCCCGCCCCAAAGGCGGGCAGTGCTACTAAGAAACAACTGGTGCTCCGCATACAGTTGCAGCGGGCGCTCACCGTTGTCAGTCCGTTAGGAGTTAAGTCCATAATTACCACCCAGCTGAGCTTCTGAAGAGCTCAGATGCCCTACTTGTGCGTTCATATCCCCTGCAAGTACCATAATATCTGAACTAGCAGCACTGCGTAGTAGGGCGTTCAGTTCGTGATAGAAAGTGTCCTTGACTGCATTAGAACTGCAGTCGGTGGGAGCATAAACGGAAATCACAAACAAACAGCGTTTTGCACTACTTCTTGAATCAAGCTTAGCTGATGCCGTCAAACTGCTGTTCAACGGAATCTAATCAACCAATGATGGCTCAGCCTTGGAGCTTAGAATGATACCTACATCAGCTTGACCCGTGAGTGCTGCATCGGCGTCTCTGGATGCGTGCAACCAATAAGCTGGGTACAGTTAATGCAATAACCCCATTAGGGTCAATGATCCTAGTTTCGGACACACAACACACATCAATACCCAGTGTGTCCAAGGTGCGTGTGAGTGCAGCCTGCTGACCTATTTGTCTCAGAGCGCGAACGTTGAACCCGCCAGGGAAACGGGACAACGTAGCCTTATAAGAGAATTTTGCCGATAGGCGTCCACTAGGTATTGTGGGATGGTGGCTGCAAATGGTTCTACTCCAGTGGCACTTCGGTTGCTGTCAAGTAAGCTAGGAATTATAGGAGGAAGGTTAGTAAGGGGGATCGGGATGGGAGTAAGGGAAATGGGTGGAAATGAAAGAAGGGAGGAGCCAGCAGTAGCATGTATTCGCTTATCCGCCCTGCTGCATGCAGCAGATAAGGCGACCCTTGATAATCTGCGCGACGGCCGATGCAGGATGAAGTTTATGTTTGAAGGAAAGGCCATGGTTGTATGTGGACTGCGATACCGCCAGGGCATCCAGACCTAGGCAGGAGGACGAATAGGGTCCTCATCCAGAGCCTTTGGCTCAAAAGCCTGTCCGCAAGGCAGCGGGGAGGTGACAACTATGCAGTTTTACAGAAATGGACGCCATCTCATTTCAAATCCACAGCCTAGAGGACCAGGAGACTGAGTTTGTCTGACCTCTCACCACTGACCAACCTGGTAGGAGTAGCTCTCAACGTGGCCGGAGGCACCACGCAGTACGGTTCAATGGCTCGAGGTGGTACGCAAACCGTCGCACCACCTTGTCGGTTCTCAGTTAGAAATCATATAGAAATTCCATTAGCTAGAAATATATATTACTGCCTGTGGAGTAGGAGATGAGATCACAAACCGGATAGCAAAAGCTCGGGAGGCTTTCACTAATCTTCGCCACTTGTGGCGCCGGCGCGACAATACTCTGAAGGTTAGAGTCTATAATGCAGCCGCGTGTTCAATTTTATTGTATGGTTGTGAAATCTGGCCCAC